AAAAAAAAAAAAAAAAAAAAAAAAAAAAAAAAAAAAAAAAAAAATGTGCCAATTTCACTACAATTGGATCACCTTTACTTATCATATTGAGAAAGTTCATATTGAGAATCTGTAAACAAATAAAAGGCATTCTCATTAATTCATGAATAACCATAGATTTTATGCCACTTATTTTGTGGTTATTCAGCGAATGCACATGTCTGTGTAAACTGATAAAAATGCTATGGACTTGAGAGATAATGCTGAATATTCACAATCTTGTTTTGAACTAGGAATATGTAAGTACTCCTTCATCTGCGTAATACATGCAGATCTAAATACTGCTAGTAGTGGAAAATCATAATTATTACATTAGTATTAAACACAAGTTAATCAGGCGTCAATCCTTGTCAATAAACCATATTAAATGGTAACAAAAAATAGGTTATTAATAGAAAATGTCGTAATGATTTTGTAGTTCATAGGATTGCCACCAAAATCACATACCATATGACAATCCACATGTAAGAAATGCCTTCCTTGCTCTATTCTACAAATGAATATTCATCAGCCTACTCATTGCGATAATAATGGCAATGTTAACTTTGTATACCAGGTTTCTGCCTTTTTCAAAATGAAGAAAATGTAATTAGTTTCCTTTTGTTAATTGGGAAACACCCCCTCAATAGGTTGTCTTTATATAAAATACCCACGTGATAATTGGATATTTCCATGTCATTACGTCATTGACTTTATATAACCTTTTCAGCTACTTCGTCCGTGTTTATTTCCACAACAGGGTGTATGATTTGGAGGTCACACTTTGTACCACTGTAGGGTAAGTAACCCTATTTCGTTTAATGACAAGTTGTCATACGGAGAATTATGTCAGAAGACACAAGTGTATTGTGTGATATATTGCTATATAGCCATATCAAATTAAATACGAAGATTATAAAATATGGAATAGAATTTCAAAATCTTATCTGAGAGGTATGCAGTATGGATCAAGGTTGTGTAATTTTATGTCTGAATACAGGACAGGGTTATAGGCATAGTCGGGTGTACAGAACAAAAGACAAACCACTACAATAACGTGAGACATAAAGTTGTATCGTTTAACTGTTAAATTTATGAAAGCTTTGCATGGTGGACTGACGCCAAGTTATTTAGCTGTTACAGGTCTGTCTATAGATAATCACACTCATTATACCTGAACAAGACAAGTTCAATCTTTTAGCATTTCAATGAATTGGATGCAATTATATGGTATAAACTTTTCATTATGATGATAAATATTTTTTACTATTTTTTACTCATTGTGGGATAGATACACCAAACTTTTTATCACAGGCAGGTATTATATATATAATAAGTAACACTATGCTAACAGGTTATAAGGAGATATATGAAAAATGAAATAAGGGATTGTTTAAAATGGTTGATTGTTATTAGTCCCTGCTTAATACAAGACAAAGATCAAACAGAAGGATGCGGGCCCATTGAGGAAAGATCTATGTACATCTCTAAGACCTATTTCCTTCTCTATGAATAGAGCATCATTGGGCCAAGTAGACACAATTTTGTTAATAAAGGATGTTGTGGCCGAGAGTGTACAAGGGATCCTTGCCATATCAACGAATATATGGGTCATAACTTGGAAACGATTGAACCCTTTATTCGTATATTCCGTTACCCAACATCTTTAGACAACATTCATCCCAGCAGGATTTTCCTTGTGTTCAAATGAGGAGTTCTAGTTCATAACATGAAAATGGTTGAAATCCCATCTCATTCGAAAACATGAACACATCTTTGCCACCAAAAGTTTTCATAGTTTCTACTACCCAGTGTTGTGACGAAAGAGAAAAATATGGACATAACTTTAAAAGTTTAAAGATTATGTTCGACATCAAAAAAGACAGCCATGTAACCTAAATCTGCTCTTGGTTCCGTTCCAATACTTTCGGGTGAGGCCAAATACGGAAATTGGGTCATTACCTGAAAATGCTTGAAATCCCAACCCTCTGACCAAATTCAAATATATTGGACATGGTGAGACACATTCGCCCATTCTACAAGGATTTCTTCTACAGTTGATCTGTCCCAGTTCAATGAGACAAAGTCTACTGGTCAAAAAATGTCAACGGAGGTGATCCCTGTCCTATAACTATATAGCTAATTCCTTGTCTTGAACAGAGATGAATACACATATTGCACTGCATTTGGTTAAAGGGTCCAACTCTGCCGCTGGAACCTTAGTTTCTAAATCATTATACACAGACTTTTACATCAATTATAAAACAAGTTATTTCAAATTATATTATTCACTCTTGTTGGCCCGTATATTATTAGCTTCACCTGGCCTGAAGGGCCAAGTGAGCTTATGGCATGGTGCGGCGTCCGTCATCTGTCCGTCGGGCGTCAACTTTTTACTTTAAACAACTTCTTCTGAATAACCAAGAGGCCCAGGCTGATAATATTGGGCCAGTAGCATGCTGGACGAAGGGCTACCAAATTGTTCAAATGAATGAACTTGACCCACTTTCAAGGTCACAGGGGTCAAATGTCTTACAAAATCTTCAAACAACTTCTTCTCAATAACCAGAAGGCCCAGGGTACTGATATTGGGCCTGTAGCATGCTGGGATGAAGCGCTACTAAGTTTGTTCAAATGAATGACCTTGAACCACTTTCAGGGACACAGGGACACGGTAGAAAGCATTGGCAGGAATGTTTATCACCGTCATGAAAACAACCCAAAACCTTATCAGTTATAACGAGAACTATAAAATAAGACAGTGGATTGTTTTATTTGGTTGTCAAACTAAGAATAAAATCATTTACTCATATAATTTGTCGTGGTTACATGTTGTACTAATATACAGTTACATTTCATATTAACATCTGTTACTGTTATTTATAAATACTCAGGTGAGCCTTTGACTAAGCATTATCCACAATATATTATAACTTTTTTTCGTGTGTTTATAACAATATACAGCATTTGATATAGTGCCCTTATCTAGTTAACATAAGCCACTCTAAAGCGCTTTACAGTTCATAGATATACAATTAATACAATAAGCATATATATTAATCAATACAATTTTTGAGGAATTCGCAGGAGCTGCCTTATCAGCCGATAGCTACTAGTCCTATGCCACATGGCTAATATCTCTATGTGTGTATGCTTGAGTGTGTGCTAGAGATGTAATGTGTTCTGTTTGTTGTGGGACCGTGCTTCCAATGGTATAAATTATAGTACCTCTTCACTTGAATGCTACAGCACAGATACCACAACATCCACCCCAGACCAATTTATACTCCACCAGGGTTGTTGGAGTTGTGTGGGCAGGAGAAAACACTTTCTCTGCATATCCATGCGTACAACGTCTTCAGGGATCGATCCCTGCATGGCCACCTGCGTGGAAGTCTGAGTGTAAACCACTTGACCAATCTGCCCTTTACTGGTAGAATCTATTTCACAAAGTGCTATTTTCACCCTTCTCATGTTATTACTACAAATTTGATAAACCGAGATGAAATACTGTAAGCAGAAAAACTGAGTCAATTTTTCACCCTTTACTGGCAGAATCTGTTTTTGTGTATGTTAAATTTGCCCTTCACATATTATTACTATGCATAGTAAGTTGTGAACTTACTTTCACTGTCATGATAAATTACCCCTCATTACAGAGGATGAAAAAGGCGAAAGTTTAATTGTTGCAAAAATTTCCGGGTATATAATTGTAAAGGAGAAATATTTAGCACAATCTTTTTATTAGATGTCAAAGGTCAAATATAGTTAACAACTAGAATTTTGTTTCTGTGAACAAAAACATGTCTCCCCTTATTAGCCAAGAGACAAACTTCGGTGTAAAAAATTAACAAAGGGCCATGTCTCCTTATACAGTAGGACATGAGACCCGAATTTTGAATATGACACTCCTACTTCTCATGATACATTAAAACTATAGCAAATATGGTCAACGTAGGTGAAATAACATGGAAGTTATACTGTGGACAAACTTCGGTATTAAAATTAAACAAAGGGCCATAACTCTGTATATAATGAAGCATGAGACCTAATTTCATTGCACTGCACACCTTCTGTGGGTGATGCAGGTATACTTCAAGTTTGATTAAGATATCTTTAATGGTTTAGAAGTTATGCAGTGGACAAACTTCGGTATTTAAAATAAACAAAGGGCCACAACGCTGTATGTAGTTGGGGCACAAAACCTGATTTCATTGCACTGCACGCCTTCTGTAAGTGATGCAGGTTTACTTCATGTTCGATCAAGATATCTTTAACAGTTTAAAATATTCGGGCTGGACAAGAATTTACTGAAAATGTTGCACTTATTTGACTTTGACCTTGAGGTGAAGGTCACAGTGACCTAATTCCAGTGCACTGCACACCTTCTGTGAGTGATTCATGCATACCTATCATCAAGATATCTTTAACGGTTTAAAGTTATGGCCCGAACAAGTTGCGATTCAAAGAACCAGAAGAAGAAGAACCAGTATTAATACTATGTCTCCCTTCAATCGAAGGGGAGACATAATGACCTACTTTAAGTATGCAACATTCTGCCATATCACAGAACGTCAGCCACAGTACCAAGTTTGTTGATCACAGGTGAAATAATATGTAACAGAGGTCATTATTTTTTCAATGCCTCCGCAAGGAGTCTAACCCGGGACCTCTGGCTTACTACTCTTACGCTCTGCCGAATGAGTTAAAAAGAAAATCTCCCTAGCCGAGTCTGTAAGAAGCGGCTAGCATTTTACCAGGGTGACAATTACATGAGATTATCTTGCAAGGGAATGAAAATATGTTAGACAGAATGATGGGCAGACGTCCTGACCAGAGTTGCAATCCTGTAACAAATTTCCTCTGATAGTACTGGTTGGCGACATTCTTTTAAGGAGATTAAATGATTTTAATCCCTTAATAATTTATAAACAAATAGCCAGGGCCATCCCAAAATTATTGCATTCTTATGAATATTTTTGTTGTTGTTGACATTTTCAAATTTCACCATGCGATGTTCCAAGCAACACATTAGGAACATATCAAAGATGCACCTGCACGCAAGAAAATGATGACAGCAAGAAAATGTTGACATGCAAGAAAATGTTGACAGTCGCTCACTTTTTATTTTTCTTCTTAACTTGAAAAGACGTGTATTAAAATGGAAAAAAATCTAATTTATAATTATAAGAAGTACTTTTTTTTCCATCTTAAGTAATGACGGAACTGGGACACAGAAAATAGCTTACTGATAGCTAAGGTCAGTGCTGAGCACCAGTCACTTAGGGGTCAAGTTTGACTCACAAAATTTCATGACAATTTAGACATTTTATTTATAACAGTCGGATTCTTTCATACCACAACTTAGCGAAAGCTTGAATCATGACCCCAAGGTCAGATGACATCAAAGAGGAGTCGTGCAGACACCCAAGTATAAATGGGTGAGCTTGTCCCCCTCCCCCCTCTACCATAAATTACACACACGTAGACTGAAACTAGACTGAAACATGTCTGTTATCAACAGCTATCAGTAATGGATAGTGTTTCAGGTGGGTTTAATGGATTGTCATGAATTCAATTGTTTCCAGACAAATTATCACATGCTTTCTCTCCAAGGATGTAATGCACTATACCTACAGCAAGAGATCTGATATATTCTACATATTTTGTTCAGAAAAATATGTTGTCTGACTAATTTTTAAAAGTATTTTTAATATACACCATAATTTAATATCCATGGAATATTCAGACTTATTTTTTAAATCACATCACTCTTCAAATAACATACTTTTGATGATAA